AGATGTGTATAAGAGACAAACAATAGACAAGGTACAGTAGTTAATTTGAGGCGATTAATTTGAAATACTGTAGATGCTCACGAATGTATGTACTGTATCACTAATAATATTTATATTCATGTGATCACATGAAATTAAATACAGGCCTCCCTCTAATTAATGACCCCTCTAATTAAAGAACAATTTTCTGTGGTCCTTTATCTTTATTCTAATTAGAGACCAAAGCTACTAAATTCCATGCAAACTCCAGTCTCAAAAGTGGTCATTAATTGGAGAGACACCTGTAATCAATGATACTGTATATAAAAATGATAGATTTTTGCCCGTCAGTGGAATTTTCTTATGCCTCTTAAACATATGCAAGGATCATGCGTAAATTTCTTTAATGCACATCATTTTGTCCATATAGAGCTATCCAAATTGTGATGTCTGACATTTTACAAAAAAAATATACCTTGAGTGTTCCTTGTAAGTTTCAAATGTGTAAACGCTTTTAATCTATTATTATAGACCAATATATATTTGTAATTATATTATATAATAATTATATGAATATTATATTATGGATGGAGTAACTGCTTTATTAGGGACATATATAGATGTTTTATGGTGTCTATTTATGTATAAGTGTATTATTTCGATTGCTATAGTAAATGGCGTGATTCACTATTATGGTTGATCGCTGCTACTGTACTTTCTTAGTCTTGTAGTAGATCAGACTGATAAAGATTTACTGATGGTCGCTATTTTACCTATTATGCTGCCAGAATTTACATTATTAAGAGAAATTACACCATTAGAACTATTCATTGACATTATAATCATTTTCAACAGCATTTCCCATTCAATGTCAATATTCAATATTCCAACCATCAATAACATATGTTAATTAAATCACCATATGTTTTTCGATGTGTGTTTGCGTCAGAAAAACATCACAGGAATAATGGTTTGCCATCTGAATCACCACCCGATTTTTTTTTCGCAAGTATTTGGGAACGTACTGAGTATTCACGATAACGCGTCAGGTAGGCAAAACATCACTCACCATCGTTGTTGTTTTACCATCGAACCATAGGAACACCTCCCCCTGGTTACGGCCTGCATCTTGAATAATTGCCATCGTCGAATTAACGCTAAAATACAAACATGATTGTCTAATGTATGTGTTGTCCAATCATATTTTCAATTACGTGCATTAATTTATTATTCGGCTACCGTGGAAAAGTTGTCTTGTGTGTGTGCTTCTCGTCAGTGGCGGCTCTAGGATATATTTTCTGGGGGGGGGG